GGCAAGAGCAGCGTAAGGTGGTACCCCATGGATGCTGCAGAGGACGATGTCGCGGAGGGGAACGCAGCGATGAGCGATGGCCTTTGGTGGTGCGGCCGCTGCTATCAGAAACGGTTAGACGGCAAAAAGAGAGACGAGAAACAGCCAGAGCACCCAGCGAACAATGCGCATGGATCGGGGGGTGAGGCGCGGGTGCCTCCAGATCCGTTGGACACGGTGCGCACTATGGTGGAAGAAGTCCTCCGTCGAGGTGATATCTTGTACTGGCAGGACGTCGCCGACTGGGTAACAGCGGAACGCGCGAAGGTTGGCATGGAGGAGTTACAAGGGAGATACCCAAGAAAAATCGTCCGGGCCTTGTTTTCAAGCATCGAGGAGTCCGGGACTTCACGCTTGGTCAGTCAAGAGCCAGCACAAGGAGACGCACGCGAGCGGGAACTCTTCCTCTTCCCAAACACCCTTGGGGACGAGCATCTCGTTGAGTTAATGCTGCGTGCTCGCCGTAATGCACCCGTACAACCACCACCCAGCCAGCTAGCGGATCAGGGCGGGTCTCTCAAGTCGATCCTGGAGCAAATCGAGAAGGACAAGGAGGACGCAGACGCATGGATGTCCGTCGTGCGGGCAGCTTGTAGAACTGTTCGAGCCGACGTGCAGAGTGAGCCTGCCCTGAAGAACACCCCCGGGACACGCGAGAAGCATCGCTACGCCGATGAGTTGGACATGAAAGTAAAGCCACCCAGAGAGACTCTGCTATCCGCGTTTCCTCCGGCCTTGGTTGGGTTATACCAAAGCATGACGGACATGGCACTGTATCGCGAGATCATCGCATCAGAGACCGAACATCCTGGAAAGCCCTGGGTATGGGAGACCGCAGGGCGAGACGGACGGCACCCTACCACCTCGGGCGACTCGGAGGGCGAGGACGGTGATGGAGAAAAGAAGAACGACGTCAGTCAAGGAGAAGTGACAGTGTCGTTAGGGCCACGAAGCGAGGAACTGGCCAGGCATATCGACAGCCTTAACCGCGACAGGCAATCCACGCATCGTAGGCTTCTAGTGATGTGTACGGTGGTGGTTGGTAAGGAGCCGGGGATCTCTTACGATGGAGGACGTCATTCTGGGGCCGGAGCGGGACCGGGAGGACGGAGCACGGCGGTATAACGAGTTTTCGGCTGAACTCTACCGCGGCGTATTCACTGAGGCGCGGAACAACTCCGACAGGTCTGCGGCAGACACATGCGTCGAGTCTGAACTCCGCAAGGTAAGAGGCATTTTTCTTACTTCCCTTACTTTCCGGCTTGTTCACGACGTAGCTCTTACGTCAGATCCCCACATCGTAGGGAAAGATCTCTGTGGTATGATTTGTTCTTACTCCATATTTCAATGCCACATTTCGCGCGTCCTTGTTGGTGGTTAAACAGGTGCGTGCTTCACTTCCGTTGGATGCAGCCATCCGTCAAATACGACGACCTTGGGATGCAAGATATCAGGCGGACTAACAGAAGCCTGACGCTGACCAGCCGGCTAGAGCGCGCGTTTTCTCCCCTGTATTTTCCTACCCAGTTGCGCAGGGAAGTGGACGGGGGAGATTCTTTTCCCTTTGGCCGCGCTGGGTGTCCGTTGTTTTTTGGCATGGTACTTTCTTAGTCACAACCTGCCTGAAAGGTACGGGGATGTTGTGTGCGTTCCGGGCCTGTGTCGCACTGACTGTAAATAAGATATTTGTTGTTTCCTTCAGTTCGGGCACGATGTTGATGGGTTTGGGCAACCCAGGGGGGGCGGTCTTGTGCGAGGTGTTCGTGTGTAAGTATTTCCTCGTGTTTTCGACACACCCAACGCTCNCTGCCTGAAAGGTACGGGGATGCTGTGTGCGTTCCGGGCCTGTGTCGTACTGACTGTAAATAAGATATTTGTTGTTTCCTTCAGTTCGGGCACGATGTTGATAGGTTTGGGCAACCCGGGGGGGGCGGTCTTGTGCGAGGTGTTCGTGTGTAAGTATTTCCTCGTGTTTTCGACACACCCAACGCTCAGTGCGTACAATGTATGTATTTGTCGCATGCTTTGAGAAAAAACANTTTCCTACCCAGTTGCGCAGGGAAGTGGACGGGGGAGATTCTTTTCCCTTTGGCCGCGCTGGGTGTCCGTTGTTTTTTGGCATGGTACTTTCTTAGTCACAACCTGCCTGAAAGGTACGGGGATGTTGTGTGCGTTCCGGGCCTGTGTCGCACTGACTGTAAATAAGATATTTGTTGTTTCCTTCAGTTCGGGCACGATGTTGATGGGTTTGGGCAACCCAGGGGGGGCGGTCTTGTGCGAGGTGTTCGTGTGTAAGTATTTCCTCGTGTTTTCGACACACCCAACGCTCAGTGCGTACAATGTATGTATTTGTCGCATGCTTTGAGAAAAAACACATTAACAATGAATAATGTGTACATATCGCCGGCCGTGCCTGTCTGCGTGCGACATTAGCACAACGTTATCAGCGACAAAGGTCCCTGTTAGTGTAGCTGGCGTGTTACTGTCGCTACTCCATCCTCTCTTCTTTTTTTTTCTCCGGGATTCCGGAGAGTTGTGCTGCTGGGTGAGGGCCCCGAGTCAACAGGCACAAGTGTGCGCGGCGCAACACAGCAGCAGCAGGAGAGGGGGCACCCCAACATNATATCGCCGGCCGTGCCTGTCTGCGTGCGACATTAGCACAACGTTATCAGCGACAAAGGTCCCTGTTAGTGTAGCTGGCGTGTTACTGTCGCTACTCCATCCTCTCTTCTTTTTTTTTCTCCGGGATTCCGGAGAGTTGTGCTGCTGGGTGAGGGCCCCGAGTCAACAGGCACAAGTGTGCGCGGCGCAACACAGCAGCAGCAGGAGAGGGGGCACCCCAACATCAATTTCAGTTCAAATCTAGCTGACGACATTCAAGAGTACTCCACCTGTAGTACGTCTTGCAGCACAATTCCAACTGCTGTACAACCACAAGACCAGCAGCTAACGTTTCCAATACTCAGTGTTGCCGGCGGCGTGGCAGAAGATAAGCATGATGCCTGTATGTCAATGCAAGATTTCGACTTCATCCGTGTCCACCTATCGTTTCCCGGCACCAATCAAGTTGAACCCTGCTGAAATATTCTCTGTGGTGTTCAGTCCATCTTCCCTCAAATTTCGGTGGCGATTGATGCTGTAGTGGGCGCATTCTTGTGCTTGATCGTTTTGGCGGGTTGTTAGATATACTCGCAGCAGTATCTGGTCGTGAGGATCCCAGGGGGACACGTGTTGGGAATTTCGTGTGTTGAAGGGTACCACCGGCGCAGTCACGGGGACCCTTTGGGCGTGGTCGGTGCGGTGCGATGATGAGGCTTGCGTGCGTGCTGCTACTTCTTCCTCTTCTTCTTCTTCCCTCTCTCTCCACCACCACCACCGCCACTCTCTCCACTCAAGTTTCCTTCTCCCACTCTCTCTCCAACTCTCTCTCAACCTCTCTCTCTCGGCCTAACACGGCCGACTACCCAGTGCCCCAAAGCAACGTCCAGAACGTGCTTGCTGCACCCCGCGTAAGTTACCTTTCACACTAGTGTGACGATATCACGGTATCTGCGTGCGGGCGTAGCCTTCCGGGGGTTGTGCAGTCACGCGCAATCGGTAGACTCCCACAACAACTTAAACCATGGAGGGCATCGACCTCTCCGCCCTTAGCGGGGAAGAGCTACAGCAAAAAGTGGGGGAGATCGTCCAGCAACGAGTACAAGCCGAACTTGAAGCTAACAGGATCAACGAGGGTGAAGTCATCTACGCCCAACCGCCATCAGCCGGCAACCCAGTCCCACCTACCGGCAACCAGCCATCACCCTCCACCCAGGGTAGAACAGCTACCTTCAACGACCCCAGCAGCGTCGCACACATCGTGGTGCAAGCGGCCATGGCGACAGCTGAGGNGGAGATCGTCCAGCAACGAGTACAAGCCGAACTTGAAGCTAACAGGATCAACGAGGGTGAAGTCATCTACGCCCAACCGNACAGCAAAAAGTGGAGGAGATCGTCCAGCAACGAGTGCAAGCCGAACTCGAAGCCAACAGGATAAACGAGGGTGAAGTCACCTACGCCCCACCACCTGCCGGCAACCCGGTCCCACCTACCGGCAGCCAGCCATCACCCTCCAGCCAGGGTAAAACACCTTCCTTCAACGACCCCAGCAGCGTCGCACACATCGTGGTGCAAGCGGCCATGGCGACAGCTGAGGCCATCGCTGAACAACAGGGCTTTGCCCGCTTAGGCACGTTACGTGTCACTCCTGGCTCAGAAATAGAACCTTGTCTTGGTAGCGTGAAGAATGAGCAAGATTAGTATATTATGTTTGGTATTGTTCGTTGTAAGATGATCTCATATTTTCAGGAGGAGGGTGTGCATGATGTGTTGGAACTGGAGGTCGAGGTCAAGGTCGGAAAGAGGGGTGTGAATATAGGAGACCTTCGGAGACTTTTCGGGAATGCAGCGGTCGACAAGTCATTCAAACTGTGGAAATCCTGATTAGCAAGGTTTTGTATCCCCTGATTCAGACCTTGATTCTGGCGTGCGAGAGTCCCCAAAAGGGCTGGAAAATCGTGACAGTATTCTATCAGGAGAAAAAGCAGTCAGAAAAGTCGAGGTTGGAGCAGGACTGGAAGGAGTTGGAGATGAGAGAGTCCGAGAGTCCACAGGATTGCATTGCCCGCTCAGAGGCCCTTCGCCTGGGTATCGCATCTGTAGGCACAATTAAGGATGAAACAGATGCCAACAAAGACATTGC